CACAGGATCCACAAGAATGAGCTGTACAAACAAGAGCTAAACAATACGTTACTCACAATGAAACCGCACCCAGAATAATGAAAACGCGATCACAACTTAGTCTAGATAGAACATTGGCCAGGACATCCCGGCCAGTGCGCGCATTGGCCGGCCAATGTACAAAATACGCTGTCAAGTTTAAGCACTTCGGACTTTGGCCAGTACGTGCCGGCCAGTGCGCGCATTGGCCGGCCAATGTACGAAATACGATCTTAGTTCTAAGTTCTTCGGGCTTTGTCCAAGAGAGCCGGCCAATCCGCGCATTGGCCGGCCAATCCGGGGTTTGGCCGCACTTCGGGCTTTGACCGTAACATATATATATATATATATAAAATTGTATACAATAGCTAATATAGGCTGCAGACTACAGCTCCCGGGCAGTATTTCTTCCAGACTTTTTTTCCGGGGGGGGGGGGGGCGGTAGACTTTCTTCGGGGGGGGGGGGGGGGTGGGGCGGACACTGTTAAATGTATATATTTTCTATATACATTATATAAATTTCATTTCGTTCGGGGGTCATGGAAGAAACTCTGCTCCCGGGTCCGTTTTCTTGAACACGAATATCTCGCATGCGTTATAGTACGCTTTAATAGAAACAAAATATAACATTTGAACTCACAATGACCCCAAATCCGTTTTTCCCTCTTGCTAGGTTGGGAGAAGGGGGAGGGGAACTACGACGACGACAAATCTCGACAAGCTCATAGCAATGATCTTGCTATGACGTATGCTATACGCTTACACTGTTCACATCTAAACCAATGTGAACTCACAGTGACCCTGGCTAGACCGTGTCGGTATTTTTCTCGCGCTGACGAGAAAACGCGAGCGGGCGATCAATGGAGCAACGATGTTTTTATAATTGGCGTGTTTAAAAACCTAAATCTAGAAAAAAAATGTATAATCTATTAAAAAAACGATACTTATTGCAAACAGCTCAATCGAACGTTAAACTTAGATAAATACTTTACTTCTCGCAAAAACGAGAGCTTTGATAGGTTCCGATCCCGTAATGATAGGTTCCGATCCCGTAACTGATCGAGAATCGGGAGGTACTGTGTTCGCCACTCGACCACGACGTCCTACGATAATTGCCAACTATTTAATGATTTTGCGGAAAACATTACACAATAATGATCACATCATTGATAAAAGAGAGAAATAAACCGGGAGTGATCTCCCCTAAACTTTCTCGAATATTCTTATATATCTTGGAATATACACATAATTATTAATTACTTAAACTTTTAAAAATAGAATAGAATCTCATAGAAAAAAGAATTGCGCACCAAGCGAACGCCAAAACAAAATGTGCATAATAGTACGCAATATTATTAGTACTTTATAAATTTACATGCATTTTTTTGAGAAATTGGAAATAGCGTAAATTAGTACTTCCGGACAACGGAAATTACACAAAATTTGACAGAAGGTAGAGAATTAGATATTTTACTTACATGTGAAATTTCATTTATCTTTCTGAAATAGTACTCAAGTTATAGGCTTTTGAAAAATTCAAAGTAGAAAAAGTACCACTTCCGGTTATCGGAAATCGCTCAAAAGTTGATACGGATCTACGATTTTGATAAAATACTTATATATGAAATTTCATCAATTTAGCTGTAACGGTACTCAAGTTATCGTGTTTACACACAGACAGACAGACACACACACACACACAGACATACGGACAAGATTGCAGTGAGGTGTAAAATGACGAGATTTGTAAAAATCCCGATTTTTTTTTGCACGTATATACGAGAAAGTAAAAAATTAAACGCACTATTTATTTGTCTAATTTGTATCGCTTGCCATATTTTTTAAGGATTTTATTTTTTAAATTAGTTTGATTACAAAGTTCTCAAGCCTTTGGTTTTTGTTGAAATAGTAATTAGTGTAAACTTTTGTGATTACTTGGTTACTTACAGTCTCTTTTTACTTTCTCGTATATACGAAGTATAGAGAAAGTCTTGTAATCGTGCAAAAAAAAAATCGAGATTTGTTTACACCTCACTGATACGGAAAAACATAATTTTGCAATCTTGTCCGTATGTCTGTGTGTCTGTCTGTCTGTCTGTCTGTCCGTGTGTAAACACGATTACTTGAGTACCGTTACAGCTAGGTTGATGAAATTTCATATATAAGTATTTAATCAAAATCGTAGATCCGTATAAACTTTTGAGCGATTTCCGATAACCGGAAGTGGTACTTTTCCTACTTTGAATTTTTCAAAAGCCTATAACTTGAGTACTATTTCAGAAAGATAAATGAAATTTCACATGTAAGTAAAATATCTAATTCTCTACCTTCTGTTAAATTTTGAGTAATTTCCGTTGACTGGAAGTAGTAATTTACGCTACTTCCGATTTCTCAAAAAACTAATGTAAATTTTAAAAGAATTAATAATATTGCGCACTATTATGCGCTTTTTTATTTGGCGTTCACTTGGTGTGCAATTAATTTGTCTACGAGATTTTATTCTATTTTTAAAACTTTAAGTATTTAAAATGGATTAAAAATCATGTCTATAGCCCGAGTTCCCATCCCCTGTTATTTTATATAAGAATATTCGAGAAAGTTTAGGGGAGATCACTCCCGGTTTATTTATTTTTTAATTTACCTAAAGCGCATGATTTTTTTTATTAACTACTGATCATTAAAAACAGTTTAAATCACTCTATTGACCTAATTTTTTGGCAAGTTACTGTATTATCTTTAGTGATTTGGTATCAATTAAAGAACTGTCAAAAGTAATTTAATTAAATATCTTAGTATAAAGCTAATAGCATTGGGTAACCGAAGCAGAGGTGAACATATGTTAATAATAATGTTATTCATGTGAGAAGTTTGGCATTCGCTTAAAATCTCCAAAACATATATGTATCATTACGTGTGTATTACATTTATATGTATATATATATATATATATATATATATATATATATATATATATATATATATATATATATATATAGGCCCTATATATATATATATATATATATATATATATAGGCCCTATATATATATATATATATATATATATATATATATATATATATATATATATATATATATATATATATATATATATGTATATATGCCTATATAGTTAGGCTATATATATAGTATATATTTATAAATATATATTCAGTTATCGCTCGCAAGGTGAAAGTTCGCCCCGGGCGCCGGGGGGGGGGGAGGCGCTAAGCCATTCTAGCGAGCTGATTCTCCCAGTTTGGAAACCACTGTTCGAAATTTTTAAATCTTTTAATTTAGAAATTAACCTTTTTTATTTTTTTTATTTTATGAAAATATTAAACACGCAAATAGTCTAGATTCTCCAGATCTAAAGATCTAGAATCTAGTGGTTTCTCGACATTAGTGTTCCGGCCACAAATGGTTTAGCTCGGTAAGTGTATATACCACAACAAATCAAATAGACCGATTATCTACCAATACTTATTACTATTATTATCCTCAGTAGATTTCTAAATCTATTTAGAAGATCTAGTATTTACCAAAGACCTAGATCTTAGTTTAGCGTCGGTTATTATTCCGGAATGGTATAGCAGTAAAAAAGAAACATTGTCACACAGTTCCGGTATCCACCGGAAGTACTGTAAACCATACTTTATTTGGCGTCATCTTTTATTTTTAATGCAGATCGTTTAAAATTTGGATAGATTTATTTTAATTGCGTGTTAAATACTGCTTTATTACTCATTTTGTATTACTAGTATTACTAGTTATTTTTTATGTTTCAGCTAAATATTTCTGCTACTAAACATTGTTTGTCAGGGTTCGTATGCAGTCTGGAAAAAGTCTTGACTTTAAAAAGTCTGGACGGTTCTACACTGTGGTATGACATTTTTCGCTGGGTATCGCAGAAGAAAACCGATTTCTCAGTTAGTACGTCATTGGGGGAGACGGGGAAGAGTGTAAGACATGTATTTTTTTTTTGTTGTTGCTTGATTGACCGTGAAAACTAAGGTCAATGATATCTAAACTTGTATGAACTCACCGTGACCCCCAGTACGTAGATGGTGCTGTTTGGCTAGGTGAGGGAGGAGGGGGAATAAAAGTTACGGCACAGTTCAAGATATGACGTATTAGACTGGGCTACTGTGACATCACAGTGACCCCTCCACCCAAAGGCGTAGCGATGGGGGGGGGGCAGGGGGGTACATATGTTCCCGGAAGTCGACCTTTGGGGGTGCCAAAATGGGTTGTAAAAACAAATTAAAATACTGTCATTTTAGCTTCATTTTTGCATTATAAATAGTTTGAGGAGGGGTGCAAATCGAAAGTTTGAGGGGGGTGCAAATCTAAAATTTGCTCTCGAGGGAGGCGCCAAATTGAAAGTTTGTCCCCGGGCGCCGGGAAGGGTCGCTACGCCTCTGCCTCCACCGTCTCTTGTTGTGTGTTTGGGGGGGGGGTACCGGTAGTTTTTAATAGCAAACAAAAGTTTCTCAACTATAAGCACAAATAATGGCGTGGTTACAAAGGTCTTGTTTCATTTTCAAAATAGTGTACGAACCCGGTTTCTAGTCACTTTTACTCTTTTTGTAATCATTTTTACATCTTTGTAATAATTTTTTACTATTTTCGTAATCTAGATTTTTGTACTTGGCCTAGCAGCTAGCTAGATCTAGATTTAATTAATTAATCGTCGCAAAGCCGCTGCAAGCCAAAAACATTAAATTATTACATTTGACTTCATTATTTATATTTATATTGATATATGTTTTTTTTTTAATTTTTAGATCTACTAATTTAAATCTACTATACCATTTATTCTTGTTTCCTTTTGTCGATTAAAAAATTAAAACATTAATTTACTACAATCGACTTTCAATTTATTTATATTTCAATGGTCAAATAAACCATGGTTTACCGTAACTCTAGTTACCGAAACTCAACAAACATTACCCGATAATTTCCGACGCTAAACTAAGGTTTTACCCTGATATCTTAAGCCTAGAATCCTAGATTTAGATCTTGAGTCGATAGATCTCTATTAGATCTAGATCTATACTAGAATCTAGATCTAGATTTAGATCTATATCAGACTATATCTAGTCTAGAGGCTAGATCTAATGCTAATGGGATAGGATTCTATCCTAGAATCTCTAAAGTACTCTACTCTGTTCTTAATCACACAAATAGTAATAGGCCTAATGGAGAAAGATTTATTAAAGAAAAAGTATGGACTTCCACCCATACCATCTGTGGTCCCCAGCAGTGGGTAGGCATTTTCTGATTTCAAAATTTTCTACTGAAATAATAAGAGTTACTGAGTTAGGCCTAGATCTCTAGATCTATCTAATAATATTATTATTATAAGATTATAAGGTAATCTATCGTTTTGGGTACGTAAAATCGCCCGCGACTAGTAATGTGAAAAACAGGTGACTCCTTACATTTTAATAATTATTTCACATTTTGAGGAGGATTTATGTTTTGAAAAATACAAAAATGTTTCCTTGTTTCATTTATGTACCTGTTTTTAAACAATTGAATTAAAACTTTTCAGTAATAAATGAAGACTAGCGATGTTTCCAACAGAAGCAACCATGCTCATTTACTATAGCAGCCATCTTGTTAAAGTTTTATTTTTATAGACATAGCGCGATTCATTCAGGCGGAAGTCACTCTATTTTACAAATGGCTGCTGTTTATATAGCAAATCTTGCTTGCAGACACTGCTGTTTAAAGCTAATTTCTGGCCTATATTGATATATTTAGCCATTGATTTAGGTTTATTATTCATTTATCTATAATATTTGACACAAACATATCACAATATACTTCTATTACAGCCTTGACAATGAGGTAACGTTTTCGTACATTAATAGCCGCGGGCGATTTTACGTACCCAAAACGATAGATTACCTATTATAATAATAAATAAATCTATCTAGACTAGATCTAGAATCTAGGGTAAGAGATCTAGATCCAGAGGAGAAATAGAATGCATGCATTCCATTGTTTGTTACTGATTCATGATTATACTATAATGTATAATGATAGGCCTACCAAATTTGGTAATCTTTCGTTTTAGTTTAGGTACTAAAATCGCCTGTGACTAACTAGTAGGCCTAGCCTAATGTATGAAAAAGTTACCTCATTGTCAAGGCTTTTAAAGAAGTAGTAGGGCCTATATTGAAACTATAATTATACTATATTCAAGTATATTCAAGTATATTGTGATATATTTGTGTCAAATATTATAGAATAGATAAATAATAAAGCTAAATCAATGGCTAAATAATAAATATATCAATAGGCGGTAATCTATCATTTTAGGTACGTAAAATCGCCAGCAGCTTGTAATGTACAAAAAAGTTAACTCATTGTCAAGGCTTAAGGCCTAATAGAAGTATGTTGTGATATATGTGTGTCAAATATTATAGATAAATGAATAATAAATCAATGACAATGGCTAAATATATTAATACTAGCCGTCCCTGCCAGGCCCTGCTCTGGCATCTGTGAAAACCTTTCTGTTAAAGACCATTACCTGTGTGTTTAGTAATCATCATAAACCCGGCACTGCCCACCCAAACCACAACCAACCAAAACAACAAAACGCAAACATAACGCTAACACAATTACAAATACAAACGAAAACAAAAACCTAACAACAAACCCAACCACAAACACCAATACAAACACAAAGAAAAAACAAACAAAAAAGGAAACGAAAAAAAAACCTAACAACAAACCCAACCACAACCACAACACCAATACGAACACAAAGAAAAAAACGAAAAAGCAAACGAAAACAAACCAAATCCAAACGCAAAACCAACTACAAACACAAACACAAACCCAAAGAAAAAAACACAAACGAAAAAGCAAACGAAAACAAACCAAATCCAAACTCAAAACCTAATACAAACACATACCCAAAGAAAAAAACACAAACGAAAACGAAAAAAGCTTAAAAATCGACTATAGTACCCCAGCTTATTCATAGTCTTTTTGCACTCACTTAAACGAACGTAGGTGCCAAACCAAACCAAATGAACAATTATAATACTCCAAGCTTATTCGTAAAATACCTACAACATTTGCACTTGATCAATCCCCGCTAATTATGTAATTATTTTTTTCCCCAACACCAAAACAAAGTAATAAAAAGTAAATTCTTTTCCACTAATGCAATGTTTTATAAAGGGAAGTAATTGTGTTTTCCTAATTTATCAAAGGGAAGTAAGTGCTAAAGGACTAAATATAAATAATTTTCAGACATAATTAGAATTTTTGTTATTTTTTAATAATAGTCTAACACTTTAATTCATCGAAGTATGTCAACGACAAACATATGTATTTTTACATACAGAATTGAGCTTTATATATTAGATAGGCAAGAAATTATCTTTAAACAACAGTGTTTGCGACAGAGCCGGCGTTAGGGGGTGACGAACGGGGCGGTCGCCATATATCAGGTGGCATTAAACAGAGTGATTTATTATTATTTTTTGGAAGAAAGTTAAAACTGTTGTTATGTTGTGTCACCTTAAGGATTCACCCGTTCAATAATTAGGCAATAATGATTTTGGTTTTAAAATAATGTATGAATTCTAAACAAATTTTGAAGTCTATACTGTTTTGATACATCAGGCCGAGTTCGCTGTATTGTAAACTTTATTTTCCTAATTATTCGGCACGTGATTAAATTTTCTTAAGTGATTTGGTATGAATTACATAACTGTCAAAAGTGATTTAATATCTTAGCAAAGGAAAAAAAAAACTACGAACATTGGGTTAATACATGGGAATGGGAGAGATAAACATCTGTTATTATAGTGGAAAGTTTGACATTAGCTTATGTTATAAACTCCAAAACATTTGTGTTATTGTGTGTACATCACATTATATAGGTCTTTCTACATACATACATATATATATATATATATATATATATATATATATATATATATATATATATATATATATATATATATATATATATATATATATATATATAATGGAAAGGCCCCGCGCAGATGGTTGGCCCTAGGCCCAGCGTATTCCTAACGCCGGCTCTGGTTTGCGAGCAGGATTTGCTATAAAAAAGCGGCCATCTGTAAGTTAGAGTGGCTTCCCCTGAATCTTGCGCTATAAGTTTACTATAAAAAAAAAAAAGATGGCTGCTATAGTAAATGAGCATGGTTGCATCTGTTGGAAACATCGCTAGTCTTCATTTATTACTGAAAAGTTTTAATTCAGTTGTTAAAAAACAGGTGCATAAATGAAACAAGGAAAAAAAAATTATTTTTCAAAACATAAATCCTCCTCAAAATGTGAAATAGTTATTAAAATTCAAGGAGTCACCTGTTTTTCACATTACTAGTCGCATGCGATTTACCTACCTAAAACGATAGATTGCCCCAAATTTATTTTACAAGAAGTAACCTAACAGCTAGATCTATGCTCAATAATACTCCAAACGTTTTAATTATTTTTAAATTCTGTATAAGTTAGACCCCTTCTAAAAAGGGTGAACGGAAAAAAGTCACAGGAAAAAAAACACAGGAAACAAGTCACAGTTTTTGCTAGTAAAAAAGTCACAGAGCATAAAATTTTTGGAAAAAAAATAATCTTTTAATAAATATTTTTATTTTAATTGTTGAGAATTGTATAATTTTGGGTGTTTATTGATGTGGGTTGTTGTTGTTTTTAGCATATTTATAAACATAAAAGCATTGTGGTTTATAACACTAATAAGTAAAATTACTGTAACCTAATTTTCACAGCCACCACAACTTTTGTCAGGAATTTAGTTAAATACGCTCTAGAAATGTTAATTATAAGCGAATTTTAGGCACATCATTGTGTTTTGCATTTTTTTTTTGCCATTCCTCGGTCGGCTTCTCCTCAGGCGGCCTTGTCCGTCCATATTGTGTAAGATGTGTTGTTGACGTTTTGCGTCAATGACAGCCTTTGTACCGTGTCGGGTTTCTGCTTTGATCCTTTACTTTGTTATGTAATGAGCGTGATAAATGTGTGCAGAACAGGTGTTTGACCTATTGTTGCAATGAGTTGAGGGCAGCAAGTCACAATAACAATGTCTTTATGCCTTTTTGCTCTAATTTAAAGTTAGTATTTAACAAATACTATGAAAAGGAGAAGGTTGGAACATTTTATTGAATTTTATTAAATATTATATGTATAAAGGAATTAAAACGTATATTCTTCACACTAAATATTTACGTGTTATAAATATTACTATACGTAACAACCTACGCATATTTCATTATATTTAATTAATCTAAGTTGATTTGCACTTTCTGAATATTTAATAAATAAAAGTATTAACAAATTCCATGCAAATATAAATTTGTGACTTTTTTTCCTGTGACTTATTTACCTGTGACTTTTTTCCTACAATCCTAAAAAAGAGGGGGAAACTATTCAATACCCCATGGGCATGGCATACCTAACTAATAAACTCATATATAGGGGCCTACTAATATAGGTCTAGTAATAGATAATCTATTTTTTATTCCTACAATTAATAGGCCTAATTTAATAGCTTTATTAATGGGTCTACCACGAATTCCCGAAAGACACTTGCCCAAATGCTGTTTGCCAGAAGGCCAAATTCCTAAATGGACACTTGCCCGAATGCGACAAATGCCCTTTATGGACACTTGCCCAAATGCGACAAATGCCCGAAAGCCACTTGCCTCAAGGCTGTTTGCCCAAAAAATGTTATCAATATATATTACCAAATAGTCATTCGTAATCAATTTAATTTTGTAATTTTGATAAACAATACATATATTAGAAATGAGAAGATATAAATTAAAAGTCCTAGGATTAAGTGAGACATGATGGAATGGCAGTGGCCAAACTAGGTTGGTCTCGGGAGAGACTGTCATCTATTCAGGCCACGAGGACGAAGATCATGAACACACACAAGGTGTAGCCATAATGATGTCTCTAGAAACAACAAATGCTTTGATTGCATGGGAACCAGTCTCGCCAAGTCTCATAGCAGCTTGTTTCAATGCCAAGGGAAAGAAAACAACTTTAATCCAGTGCTATGCACCCACAAATGCTGCAACAGATGAAGAGAAAGAGGACTTCTACAGCGCCCTGCAAGCTCAAATTGACAAATCACCAAAAAGAGATATAAAGATAGTAATGGGAGACATGAATACCAAGATTGGAACAGAAAATAAAGATTGGGAGCTCACAATGGGGAAAAATGGAATAGGCGCAATAAACGAAAAC